TATCAGTCCTAAAGTTACTCTTCACCAACTACCCTGAACCTTTGCTCTCTTACTGAAAGCATTGTCAAGATTTACTTTCCCTGTCCCATTTAGCATCTCTATGCTCCCCTCCAAAAAGTATCTTTTCGAAGCTGAAGAGTTCCAGTTTACCTAATTGTTTGTCATAGATTATCCTTCTAACATAGGGATTAGCTCAATTGCTCTCCTCTATCACAGTGACCAGAAAAATGTGCATACTCCTGCGTACTGCTCAGCTTCTGGGTAAGCTGAATTCAACTGATTTGGCAATGTAGGCCAGCATTATGTCTGCTTGGTTTATTTCTGCCTCACACTGTTTGGAAGTGGTATTATTTCCAGTCACCACCATCTCATACATGCACAACCAGCCCCCTTCCTGCTTCAAAGATGGTGCTTGTTTTCCAGTCTGTATCCTTGTTCCTTCCTGCGTGTTTTCTGTAACTAGTGAAAACGTGAACAGCTGGATGAAGGGAGAAAAAAACAAAACTATAATTAATTTGATCTAAGCATTGTAGAGGATAGCAGAGGACACAATCTAGTTTGTGGTCAGTCAGATAAAGCGCTGAGTAAAAGTAGATTTGGAAAGGTCATGGATCTAATCTTTGTTATTCTAGACTTAACTCTTTGTTTGTAGTGCTGGTCGTAACCTATGTTGTGGAAACTCTTACCTGGCCTGCAGAGTGAGGCTTCTTTCTATACCTTGCTGAATGTCCCTCTCGCCCATCTCGTATAACAGCCGCTTTTGTTTGTCTTTTGCCATCTATGACAACGTCCTCTCTGTAAATTGAAACTTGGTAGTTTAGCGATTCAACCATCTACCGAGATTATTCAGTTACAGTCTAAACTCTCTGCAAAATTACAGTATTGGACCAGAATTTGCTTTGCAAAGCAACCTCTTCCTCTCCCTGTACCCTATATATAATCACCAGAACTAGCTTTATGGTAGTAGTGGAGTCAATATCGTGTTGACGGTTTACCCCTCAATGCACCCCCCCCCCCCACCCTCCTGCCCCTGCAATTTTCATTCTCGCAAACTCATTCCTTCTTCATACCATGTATCCCATCCCTAAGTTTACGTTTTTTAAAAAAATCTCTTTTCCATCTAGTATTGTTCCCTGGGAACTCTGTTGTATTAATCTGTTGCTCTCTGTAAAACTCAGACTGAAACAGCTCCAGTAATCCTCCCTAAGCACTTCACATACTAAGCCCGATTACAGCCCTTCAGCTGGATGTAATTGAGCAGTGCGTTAGCAGCTCCAGAGGGCAAGATAGCAAGTCGGAGGCCCAAAATAATAATAAGAATAGTAATAATCCTTGCCTTTGAAATGGCGCCTCGTTGAGATGTCTCAAAGCACTTTACAGAATATATTGTAAAGTGGATTGACTGTATTTTGTGGGAGAAACGTGGCAGCCGATTGCACAAAATAGTTTTAAAGTATTTTGTTTTAAAATTAAAATTTTAAATTGCTGAGAGCTATGGAAAAACTCTTCAATTCAATCTTAATTTAGAAGCTGTCTCTTGTTAAGACCGCCTGAAAACTGACTCACAAATGAAGACAGAATTTTAAAATATTCCAGAATTGTGCAAGACTTTCAGTATTAAGGTGGAATTTGGGGGTCTCAGGAACTGGACGATTGGCTTAAAAACATTGCGGTAAATTATAACTTCCCCACCACTGCCTAGCCAACTTGCTACAGACTGATAATTTGAATCTGGTACCTTTCTGTACCACACACACACACAACCAGGTGAAAATTACAGTGTATATGTTTACACGTATGTTTCTAATTGACACAATTGTTAAAGTTAACAACTGTTGGCTAGTATGATACTATAATAATAATACTTCATTTGGTATAGTACCTTTCTTGTCAGGAGGCCATCTCAAAGTGCTTCATAGGATATACTGTAAAGTATAGTGACAATGTATTTTGTGGGTGAACAAGGCAGCCAGTTTGCACACAACAATGTCCCACAAACAACCTAGACTGAAGGCCCAATTTTATTTGGAGGATCGTTGGCCAGGACACCTGGAGAAACTCGCTTTTCTTTTTCAAACAGTGCCATTGGTCTACCTGAACCAGCAGACAGATCCTGGGTTTAACATCTCATCCAAAGGATGGCATCTCCAAAAATGTGGCACACCTCCAGCATTATTTGGCATGTCCTCTTAGACTATATGAGTTCCAAGTCTCCATGCAGGGCTTGCACCAAAAACTTCTGACTCCTAGGTGAGAGTGAGAGAGCTACCAACTGAGCAAAGCTAGTACTAGCTCTTAAATAAGCAAAACATTTGAGAGTAAAGACAGATCCCTCTACGTGCCGTCATATTAGGAATCAATGATACAATACACAAGTTGTGGTGCATCTTTCTTTCTGACAAGACCATTAAGAAGGATATCTGGACGTGATTCTGCCTCCCAAGACATCCAGGGACTAGTCCATGTGTTAATTATCATAAGGTCGCTTTTTTCAATGTGTATGTTAATTAGCACCAGAGATTATAATTAGCATCATAATTTTTGTCCCAGTGTGTACACCCAATTGATCTGGGGACTCTGACTTTATTGATCGGTCGAGATTTGAAATTAGAACCTATAGCCAAAAGTGAACTAATTGTGTTTCATAACCTCCTCTTAGTTTTATAGAAATCACTGATCTCAAAAATAGTTTCTCCCACCCACAAATTTGCTAACTTTAATTGCCTTTTTCTTACCCTCTCTTCCAATTATCCTCTGCCCTGAAAGTCCAGACGAGCTAGGTCTCATGGGTGCCTACTTAAAAATTGCCATGCAGATGAAAATAATAATTATCATCATCATCATAATAATAATCCTTGCATTTGGTATAACGCCTTTTATGTTGGGGGGACATCTCAAGGAGTTTCACAGGATTCACAGTGAAGTGATGGTGTATTTGTGGGTGAATGTGGCAGCAAACGTGTGCAGAGCAATGTCCAGCAATGTCCTGTAGCTCAGTGGTTAGAGCACTCGCTTTGCAAGTGAGAGACCTGAGTTCAATTCCAGGCAGAGGGCGAAACCTTGGGCAAGTTTCCTTACTCCACACGCCTAATAATAATCCCTCCAAAACTAAAAAAAACAAAAAAAAAACAAACAAAAAAAACAATAATTAAATTGGTCATTTTCAATCTACGACTGTTTGTGGGACATTGCTGTGCGCAATTGGCTGCCGCGTTCGCCCACAAATATACAGTCAATTCACTTTACAGTGTGTTCTGTGAAGCGCTTTGGGACGTCCTCCCGACGTGAAAAGCGCTATATCAAATGCAAGGATTATTATTATTATTATTATTATTATTAACAAACAGCCATGAAGTGAATGACCAATTTTATTTGAGGGACTGCTGGCCAGGACACTGGGAGAAACTTCCTTCTCTTTTCGAGTAGTGCCGAAATGTGTTCTTCAATGTCCACCTGAACAGGGAGACGAGGCCTGGGTTTAACATTTCATCTGAAGGATGGCACCTCCGACGGTGCAACACAACCCTAGCACTGCATTGCTTCGACAACTTGCAATTACCTGTAAATACTTGCTTTGAAGTGTGCAAAGACCATCATTGTTTCTGACGTTCTGAGATTGATACGTTTTGGCCATCTGTCTTTACCGTCTCTCCTCCCTGATGCACCTTCATGGTTTTGTCCTTTATCTTCAACATCCTCATTGTGTCTATTCCAATGGTTTCACCTGCCAGTCACATACAGTGTTCTCAGGGCTCTATGCTCGGTCCTTTCCTCTTCACCATCTACATGTTCCCTGCTGGTGACACCACCCACAGGCGTGTCCATTTCCACATGTACGTGGATGACATCCAACTCTCTCTACCTCTACCTTTGGTCCAGGACCATTGCTGTTCTGACCGATTTGCACGTCAGACATCAAATCCTAGATCAGTTCTAATTATGTACAGCTCAAGTTTTTCTCTGTCAACAAGACCAAGGCTCTCCTACTTGTCTCCCATCAGTGCCTTCTCCCACAGGCCCAGATTACATCAATCTGCTCAGATGCTCACTTCACCTGACAGAGCCAGTACAAAGCCTTTGTGTCTTGTTCGACTCTCAACTGTCCTTCAAACCCTACATAGAATCATAGAATCATACAGCACGGAAGGAGGTCATCCGGCCCATCATGTCTGTGCCACCTCTTTGAAAAGAGCTATCCAAATCAATCCCACTCCCCTGCGTTCTCCCCCTGTCCCCCATCTGGTCTCTCACTCCTTTGGCTTTCCTCAACTCCGCAACATCATCCACCTCTACCACTATCTCTCCCCCTAGTTTGCCAACACCCAAGTCTAGGCTTAATTATTCCAATTCTTATTGAACTCCCCAGCTGCTCCCTCCACAAGCTGCAGTCCATCCAGAATTCTGCAGCTCATGTCTATCACACCTGGCTCAATGAGACCATCACCCCCATCCCTGATCGGCTCCACTGGCTCCCTAAATCCTCAGCAGATCAATTCAAGGACTTCAGATTTCTACAGGATCACATACCACCCTGTCTCTGCGACCCCAGCTACTCTCTTCACTCAGCAAACATTGTAAATATTGGCCTGTTCATGACTCCCAATCTGTTCAAGAATGTAATAGCAAGGAATGAATAATAATAATAATAATATCTTTGCATTTGATATAGCGCTTTTCACTTCTTCTAGACATCTCAAAGCGCTTCACAGAATATGCTATAAAGTGAATTGACTGTATATTTGTGGGCGAAATGCGGCAGCCAATTGCGCACAGCAGTGTCCCACAAATAGTCGTGGATTGAAAATGACCAATTTATTATTGTTTTGTTTTGGAGGGATTATTATTAGGCGTGTGGAGTAAGGAAACTTGTCCAAGGTTTCGCCCTGCCTGGAATTGAATGGATTAAGGTGGGGGATTAACAGGAAATAGATTTTTGTGGCTGGAGTAATTTGATTTTACGTGAAGAAGACTGCATTTCTATTGTCTGTTTTTTGCCCTAGAAGCCGATTCAAAGCTATGGTTGGAATCCTGTCTGGTGTTGCCACAGTCCTTGCATTTGTGAAACCAGCAATTAATAACATTTCATTGATGACACTGGGAGTGCCCTGTACGACTTTGCTTATTGTTGAATTAAAAAGGTAAGTCAGTGCATGATGCTATGCCTAGATTTAGCTGTAGATAGGACAAGATCAGGTTTTAAGGTTATATAAACAACAGCTTGCACATACACAAGCACAAATTATATACAGCATCTTTCACATCAGGAAGATGTCTCCGAGGCCATCACACAACTGATTAGGAACTCAAGCTGGGGAGGGGGAAGGTGGCTGAAAGCATACTCAGAAAGATAGATCTTAGCGTAAGTTTTAAAGATGAGAAGGGAGGGTGTTTCAGGAGGGACAGCAGATGGAGTTTCGCAAAATGGGGCAGAATGACTAAAAAGTTGCTCATCGATGGGGTGGATTGGGCAGGTGATGTGAAGCAAGCCCATGTTCACTGAACGATTTCATGTAAACTAATTTCAGGCAGTACTGTATGACGCCCTATGACATACCGGCAGTGGCTGACATAACCCTACGTGCATTACCTCTATTCATAGAAACAGAAAGGTCACTTCCCTCTGCTACACACAATAAGTGTCAGGATGTCCTGCGCAGTTTTCTTAGTTTTCTTTCGGATGTTAAATAGAGCCATAATATGCTAGGTATGAAAAAACTGGAAATGTGTGAGCTAATGGTTAACTCAAGCACCTGGCAGTTAATATTAAATAACAATATTCCTTGCATTTAATATAGAGCCTCATCACTTTGTCGATATGCCTCAAAGCGCTTACCAGAATTTTTTATAAAATAGTACTTGTAGGAAAACACAGCTGCAAATTTGCGCACAACAATGTGTGACAAACAGCTATGAAATGAGTGACTCATTTTATCTGAAGGATTGTTGGCTAGGACCCTGGGAGAAATTCTCTTCTCTATGTAAATAATGCCACAAATTCTTTAACATCCATCTGAACAGGCAGAAGGTTCTTATCCGAAGGATTATTAAATTGTCCAGGAAGAGAAGAAATATTGCCTCTCTATTCCACCTGCACATCACAAAAGAAAACATGATAGCTGTGCAGTTGCATGTACTTGTCTTGGAACCTGAGGAGGTGTTATGAAGAGAGGTTGATAGGGTATGCACAAGGGCTGATGACTGGCAAATGAAATCCCAGCTATACTACATATAGGAAGTAACTCTTGGAAACACAAGTACTCCATGGATGAGATAGAACTTCTATCGCCTTGGAAGTGAGAGGATCTGGGTTTATTCCTGGCAGGGCGAAGTGTTGGGCAAGTTTCTTTACTCCACACCTCTCTGTTTACCTAGCAGTAAGTAGGAACCCGGTTGTTAGTTGAATGGGGGAATCGCTTTTGCGGGGGTAATAATTCCTTGAAAAAAAAGTTGGTCACTCAATCCACGACTGTTTATGGGACACTGCTGTGTGCAATTGGCTGCTGCGTTTCGCCCACAAAATATACAATCAATTCACTTTACATTATATTCTGTGAAGTACTTTGAGACCTCCCGAAGATGTGATAATGCGCTATATCTTACGCTAACTATTGAAACGCACTCCTCGACGGTCTCCCCAGCTCCATTATTCAAAAGATCCAGCTCATTCAGAACTCTGCCGCCCGCATACTGATCCGGACCAAACTCCGTACCCACACCTCACCAGATCTCATCAGTTCTGACCAGGCTCCACTGGTTCACCATCACCGAACGGATCGACTTCAAGATCCTCACACTCGTGTTCAAATCCCTTCACTCCCTGGCACCTCCCTACCTCTCCGACCTCCTCACTCCCCAATCCACCACCTGGCATTTACGCTCGACTGGCACCGGCCTCCTGCTCGTCCCTTGCACCCTCCGCCCCATCATCAGAGGTCGCGCTTTCAGCCACTACACCCTGAAATTCTGGAACATTCTCCCTCAATCCCTCCGCCTTGACCACTCTATACTTGCATTATATAAGTGCAAGTTGTTGTAGTACAACAAATGCAAGGATTATTATTATTATTTTAAGGGTCAAGGAGTATTTACACAGAGCTTTTCCCACAGAGATAGAAATAGACCAGGGTGGGATTATGTGGATTTTGAATGGCCTATGAAGGGAGTGAGCATTAAGATCTAATGGACTTTTCTCATTCCATTCTTTCTTAAGATCCGACAAACTCAGCTAATTTGGCAGGACCAAATGGCAGGCCATGTTGGCACGAGGGAAGATAAATCAATTAACCTACACTGTTCTCTCACTCCATCTAGTGACTGGTTTAGAAAGTATATTGCCAAGGGATTGGAAGAGGCATGGCCTGGTTGAAGACTAGTGTGTCCTAGTGCCTTGGGACATCCTCCTGAAGTGACAGACCGCTATATAAATGTAATTTGTTGTTGTTGTGTGGAATTGGGAAGCTAAAATATTACTTCCAAAAGTGGGATTGTAACAATTTTAACTTAAATTGCCACTTTTGTTTTATGTAATTGCAGATGTGAAAATGCTCGTGTTTACAAGTTAGGTTTATTATCTGGATTTTGGTGGACCTTGGCTCTGTTCTGCTGGGTCAGTGACAATTTCTTCTGTGAACTCTGGTCTGCATTCAATTTCCCATACCTGCACTGTGCATGGTGAGTCCTGCTGCCGAGTCGAGGTTTCTGGGGATATTAATTCTTCCTTGTTACTTTACTCTGTAAAACACTGCAATAGGACTGAGAGAAAATGTTGCATTATTGCAGGGTCAATACCATTTTTAAAGGGTGTTTGTGCAATGCACTTGGGAGAGTCACGTTGGCACTCACTGTTACTGGAGAACACAACACTGCAAGCATAAACTGATACTCAGATGTTTTCCTCTTTATTAACAGTGGTGTCTCACCAATGTACTGTCTATTATGTGGACAAGTAACCATTGGTAGAGAGGATTCAGTGCACAGAGGGTTATCTTGAGACTTAAATTGTAGGCACACTAATTGCCAACCTCTCTTCGATTGTAATAACAATCCATAGCCTCCCCCACCCCCCCACTATGGAAGGTACATGTTGATAAAGACAAGAATGAGCTTGACTATGATGTCCCCATGGCTGTCTAGCCTGTCAACACTCACCATCAAGACTCACATGTGGGTAACAAAACACTTGAGGGAAGTAGCACAAGGCATCTAGTCTTTGTGGAAGTCTACCCCAATAGAATGAGAAAGCCCAACACCTTCAACGAAGGAGAACAAACAGAAGGAAATAAATTGGAAAAGGGAGAGCAAAAAAAGCAATTATTCTGTAATCCAAATGAAAAGCACGCATTTACCATTGGGAGTACATTGTTCAGGTAAAGCTTGGATAATACAACATGCAATCAATGTACATTTCAGATTCAGGAATTGACCAAAACATCTCTCAAAGCATCCTGAGCATGATATTTTTCCTCTGTTTTTCTTGTAGGCATATCTTGATCTGCCTGGCTGCTTACCTGGGCTGTGTCTGCTTTGCTTACTTTGACGCTGCCTCGGAGATCCCAGAGCAAGGTCCAGTCATCAAGTTTTGGCCCAGTGAGAAGTGGGCCTTTATTGGCGTTCCGTACGTTACTCTTCTTTGTGCGGAAAACAAGTCCTCACTGAAGATCACTTAAGAAAAGCAGTAAAAGTTACTCCTGCACTTTGTTTTTGAGCAGAGACTTAAGGAAGTTTATTCTGCAAGGCTTCGGTATTGACTGGATTTCTGGAAATTAGCTAGCTGTACACCTTAGAACAAAGCTTCCTTCTTGCGAACAACACTTAGCACATACCCTCAGGAATGAACCTACATTATTTGTGAAGAAGTATTTGATATGTTTAGAATTAATCTTTTCAGTGATTGGTAATTAATTTTTTACCCAAACACAAATCACGGCAAGATTAGGAGTATTATTTTTTAGAAAGAAATGTAGCATATTTAGAAGCTACTGTGAATGAAATCCTCTGCGGTTCAGCACTGTTCTCTAATTATTCTTTAGAAGCAACTTGCAAAGTTATGTTTTGCAATGTTCAGGTGGAAAATCTATGCCTTTTGTTTGAAAGAAAACATCTTTAAAATTAGAGATAGTTCATTTTATCTTAAAATTTAAGGTCTTACAGAATAGTGGACAATTTTTAAATTCAGTCTTAACACTCTTCCGCAGTTCTTAAAAAGAACAGGATTCCAAATGTAAACTGAATTTTAAGAATTTTCTACAATCTAGCACAATCTCAAATTTCAAGATGAGATAATCTCACAAACTAAGGCTAGGTGTAATTTCAACCTTCAGTTCTCAAAGATTATTATTTAGGACAGGGGTTATTTGGAGAAGACATTGGATTTCTGAAACTATCTCTCCCACTAAGGGCTCTGGACTTTTTCAAGAAGGAAATGGTTCTGTTCTTGAACCACTTGTGTTGTACCATGGGATATTTCAAATGTCTTGTTATCAAAATGTTTGTAATTAATATTATAAAGGCCTCCAGGAAGTCCCAGAGCTATGCAATCGATAGAAAAGTGCTGCATGATGCCCAAAGCCGAAGGCTGAGGCGATTTTCACACACTTGTAACTTGGGAAATTACTTTTATGCCCCTGAAGGTGACGTTGGAGTAATTTATAGCCAAAAGATTTTTTNAATATCCACAAACACATCAACACCGAGTCAGATCAATCTGTACCTTTGTGAATAATGTGGTGAGGAAGGAAGTAACTAACACACAAGGAGGATCACAAATAGGAACCTTTGGCAGGACCCAAAATGACATCATAACGACACGAGTGTCCTATACCCAGTGCTGGATATCTATGGTAAATCTCTGCTCGTATCCAACACAGGCTTTTTGTTGTTGTGTGTCATGATCTGGAGACTGATGTGCTGTGCCAAACCAGAAGCCAAAAGAGTTTGTTAAAGCAAAGCGTAATGTCATGACTGCACTTTTGTCAATTCTAGCTGAGATTCTTGTTAGACAACTTACAGAATGGTGCGTAACTCTCTTCTACCCTTGCAGGCTCTCCATTTTTACTTCTGGTAAACAAGATCACTGTTTTCTTTAGAGCAGCCCTATAGTTAGGATTGAGTGAAATGACTGAGACATGGTGCAAGTCTCCAACACAAGGAAATATATAACGCTGATGTGAGCAAGCTGTTTGACTTGGTCTGTGAACATAGCATTAGATGACGATGCAAGGTTGAGGGTTGAACAAAATACCGTTTTTTCACTGGCTCCTTGAAGTGGAGTGAGCACTGCAGATCGATCAGTGGTCAACCCCTGAGATGAGAAGATGCTGACAGAAGCTTCAATGAAAAACCTCAAGCTTATCGACAATTATCCAAAAGAGTTCATTTACTTCATGGCTGTTTGTGGGATATTGCTGTGAAAATTGTCTGCAGAAATCTCTGAAGTGCTTTGTAATATGTTGATGTGATACAGTGATATATCAAACACAAGGATTATTTATATTTCAATGATGCCATCAAAAGTGGGTGGGGTGGATTAATATGTCTTAATAATGGATAGAGAATGACAGGAATATCAATGCCTCTATTGATTACTATTAGAGTCAGAAAAGGAGTATTGGAAATTTGAAGTTAGAACATTAGTGGGGAAGTTGGAAATGCTTGAAATGGAACCAATATCTTTAAAATGTGGAAAAGTCTCATTACTCAGTATTTTCATGATGGACAATTGCTTGTGTTTGCAGTATTAAATTGCTGCATCTTGTTAGTTGCTTTACTCTCCCCTTCCCCAATTTCTTTGGTAAAGCCCAGAGTATGAATGGGTTTAGTTGAGTATCTATCTATTGGCTGTCTATCTGGCCACTTCTATTCATTCATTCTATTACTGGCCAATGGAGAGTTACATGCATCGGGACTCGTGTTGCAGAGTGAGTGTCCACTTTCCTCACATTGATTGAGTTTATGCTCCACGTGAGCCTCCTCCTTGCCAATCCTCAACTAAGCCTGTCAGCATAACTCTCTATTCCTTTCACCCTCATGTACTTACCTAGCTTCCCCCTAAATGCATCTATTCTATTCGCCTCAACTATTCCTTGTGGTAGAAAGTTCCACATTCCCACTACTCTCTGGGTAAAGAAGTTTCTTCTGACTTCGCTATTTGATTTATTGGTGATTATTTTATATTTATGGTCAAAGAAAATTAACCATTCACTTCATGGTTGATTGAGGGTCAATGCTGTGCAAAAAATGACTGCCATATTTATCTACCAATACATAGTCGCTACAGAAAAGTCTGTGAAGCGTTTTGAGATGTTTCAATGTTATAAAGTGTCAAATCAAATTCAGGGATTTTTAAAAACCTTTTTTGTCTAACCTGGTTAAAAAACAATCAGGTGTATTGATCCAATCATATGATGGTACTTGCCCTAGCCAACAATCCTCCACATGAATTAATCATTCACCTCATGTTTAATAATCACTGGTTAAACACAATTATTTGTGAAGCGCTCTGAGACATTTTGATGTGGTAAGGTGCTATAAAAATGGTCTTTCTTCAAATCCAAACAAAGCTGCTTTTTTAAAAAAAAGCTAACCATCTTCTATTTTAGATGTTCTAAGCACTATGAGACACTTCCCCCACGTGAAGGTCGCCACATAAATGCAAGTTGTTGTTTTACTCTGGTAGAGGAGACTCAATTCTTTTTTCATACCTTCCAACATTTGGCAGGGGACTTTTGAGGTCTGATTCTAATTCTGACCTCACTCAACTTACATGCTCATTGGTCACCATACAGTGGGAGTGGAGCACAGGCTGATTTTCCTCCTCTTGAGCTCAGAGCCACTCTGACCAGTTGTACCCCAGTTGTATGACCACATTAGTTGAGAAAAGCTAGCATAGCACCAACTGGAATCGAACCCTCCATGAGCTTGATATTCCCAGTTTCACCCTGTGCAGTGCCTTTGTTCCACATGGATTGACGTTTATAGAAATGGAACAACACAACACTGCTGGCAAGAATCCAACTTCAAAATCTTCTGGGCCTAAATGTCAGACTCGAACATTTTGTTGATAAAAAAACTTGTAGAAAAAACTTTGTGTTAAACGAAATGAGTCTCTGGGCTTGCGTGTGTGCGATTGTGAGAGTGTGTGCGCACGGTGTGTGTGTGCGGTGTGTGCGTGTGTTATCATAAAGGAATTTGTCACGGAAGACTCACAAGTACTGTGTGTACTCCAAGACGCTACCCCACTTGAAGGGTACTATATAATTGCAAGTCATAATAATAATAATATTTCTTGAATTTAATAGCGTCTTATCACATCGTTGCAACGTCTCAAAGTGTATTTTGTGGGTGAAACGCGGCAGCCAATTGTTCACAGTAGTGTCCCACAAACAGTTGTGGATTGAGTGACCAATTATTTTTTACCCCCGGAAAGTGATCCACCAAGCGACCAGCAACCGCATTCCTACTTACTGCTCGGTAAACAGAGGCGTGTGGAGTAAGGAAACTTGCCTATGGTTTTGCCCTGCTAGGTTATTGAACCCGGGTGCTCTCGCTTGCAAGGTGAGCACTCTAACCACTATGCTGAGGGACTCCAGGAACTAAGAGGTAGAACACAAAATAATTCCAGAGCCAAAAAACAAGTTGTTGTTGTATAGTGCTGTTCAGTCCATGGTCCATTATCTTATTGAGTGGTCACAAGATCATAAGATCGGTTTGGATGACAAAGGCCTGAGCCCATCGGATCTCATTCTTCAAATCTTCATCCAAACCAATCTTATGATCTTGTGACTTCTTAATAAGATAATTGGTCATGGACTAAACAGTCATATAAACCCTACTGTCTTCCCATCACAGCAGCAAGTTGCTTTTAAATCAGTCCAGTGTCCTGGTCCAACCACCCTTTCTGGTAACTTGTTTGTTAATTACCTCTGTGTGAAGAAAAACTTTCTGGAGTCGATTCTGAAATTGTCCTTTGCGATTCTAAACTTATGTCCTCTTGTTTTACTGTCTTGGTCCATCCTAAAATACTGTTCTGGGTTTACTTTATTTTCCATCCCTTTTTAAATATTAAGTTCCTCAATAAGGCTTCTTAGAGTTGTCTCCTTCGAGTCTAAAGAGCTAATTTGTCTTATCATTACGCCAGCTCATTCCTACAACCCTGGGGATCATCCTTGTTGTTTTCCTCTGCATTGCCTGGGTGTGGAGAGCCCTCTTCTGGAGATGTGAACTCAATTATTTGGCAATATAGCCCAGCATTCTGTTTGTGTTGTTTATTGCTGCCTCACACTGTTTTATTTTGACATAGTGAGTGATCTCTTTCAGAGTTCCCCTTGGCAAGTTCTATCACATCCACGGAGTGTATAAATTACCTAAACTTGTTTTCTATATGAAGTTCCCTGCATTTATTTGTATTAAACAGTCTACGGCTTATAACTTATACTGACATTTTACAATGTAAAATGATTAAAATACTCGATAATTGGATTATTCTTGTAGCATGCAATTTTTTTTGAAAATGAAAAAGTGGTACAGAGGTTTTTTTTTCTGAAAAAGATTTGTTTCCGTGTTTCAGAGCTTTGGGACGTCCTCCTAACATGAAAGGCGTTTTACAAATGTAATTTGTTGTTTTGAAGATATCTGTATGATTTCAATATTTTATTTGACCAGTAGAGGGCACTACATTACCATTCACTGGTTCAGTCCTTTCCGTTACTTGTAGTACTGAGGGCGAGTTGTAGATTCAACCTGAGTTAATAATAATAATAATCCTTGCATTTGATATAGCGCCTTGGCTCAAAGCTCTTCACAGAATGTGAAGTGAATTGACTCTATATTGCATAAAAACACTATCTGTAAAAGATTAAAGTAGAAGGTATTCTCCTTATTTGTTAGTTAGTTCATTCTGATTAACATAAGATTGCGGCTTGCTTTAAACAACAATGTTGCATTGTGATACACTTTGATCCATATTGAATAAAGTAAAAAAATCCTGAAATAAAAAGTATTTTTAACTAACGATATATAACACAAGAAATTATTTTCAGGAGTTTTTTGAAAAGCTAGTTTTTTGAGTAAAAACTGATGGCAAA